TATTTTGTTGCATGTGTCAGTAGTTTGTTACTTTGTATTGCTGAGTGGTAGCGCATTATGTGCATATATGGACATGTACCACAGCTTAATCATTGTTGAGAAGACACTAGGTTGTTTTCTCTTTTAGGAGATTATGAATAAACCTGGCATAAAAATTTACATAGAAATATGTATGTGAATACAGGTTTTTTATTCTCTCAGGTTAATATACAGAAGTGGGATTGCTGGTTTGTAGGGTAATTGTATGCTTACTATTATAAGAAATTGCTAGCTGATTTTTGAAAGTGGCTATTTTGCATTGCCACCAGTGATATATGCTGCTGAACATTTTTGCCAGCACTGGGCATTGTCATTAAAAAAATTGCCATCCTAATAGGTGTGAAGTGATATCACATATGGATTTTAATTTATATTTTCCTCATGAGTGGCATGTTAAATTCATGTGTTTACTATCCATTGTATATCTTCTATAGTAAACTGCCCATAAATCTTTTGCCCATTTTCAAAAAGGCTGTTTGTTTGTCTTAATAATCTGTTTTGATACAGTACAATTTATTCTTTATAGATTGGGCTTTATGTGTCCTACCAAATAAAATTTTTACTTACCTGAAGATGGTAAAGTTTTCTTTCCTATATTATATTCTAGAAGTTCTGTAGTTTTATATTTTAGGTTTAGGTTTATCATCTATTTCAGTTTTTAAAATTTTAAATCTATTTTTTCTTTTCTTTCTTCCCCTCCCTCCCTCCCTCCCTCCCTCCCTTCCTTCCTTCCTTCCTTCCTCTTTCTTTCTTTCTCTCTCTCTCTTTTTTTTTTGAGACAGGGTCTGGCTCTGCTGCCCAGGATGGAATGCAGTGGTACGATCTTGGCTCACTGCAACCTCTGCCTCCTGTGCTCAAGAGATCCTCTCACCTCAGCCTCCTACGTATCTAGAAGTACAGGTGCATGCCACCACACCTGGCTAATTTTTGTGTTTTTTGTAGAGACAGGGTTTTACCATGTTGCCTAGGCTGGTCTTGAAGTACTGAGCTCAAGTGATCTGCCCACCTTGGCCTCCCCAAAGTGCTAGGATTACAGGCGTGAGCCACCATGCTCAGCCTCATCCATTTCAGTTTAACTTTTGTATAAAATTCACTTTTTTTTCCAAATAGATATCCAATTGTTCCTGAACCAAATGTCGAGGTTAGGCTGAAAAATGGGAGGTGAAAAGAGATAAAGGTCTTTTTAAAGGATAAGGAGATGAAGGTAGGGTGAGGTGAAAGTATTCTATATGTTTTATCTTACTGGCATTGAAAAAATTGGGGAAGAAATAGAACATTTCGATGGAGGCAACATTTACTATTTACTATTTTAAGTAAATACTAAAGAAGTATGTGTATTAGAAGAAAGAAAAAATAGCAAATGAAGTAAATAGAAGATATAAAGCAAGATGTAAAACAAAATAATACATGTGAGACTTTATATTTGAATGGGCTGATCTCATTAAACTACAGAGACAGAAAGGAGATTTGAAATACACTTAAATGGATACATATTTAATTTAAGGGGATGGGCAAAAAATATTAGGCAAATGCAAATAAAAAAGAATGCAAGTGGAATGGGTTTGTTTGTTTGTTTCTAGTAAATCTGCTCGAGTTCTTCATAGATTCTGGATATTAGCCTTTGTCAGATGGGTAGATTGCAAAAATTTTTACCCATTTTGTTGGTTGCTAGTTCACTCTAATGATTGTTTCTTTTGTTGTGCAGAAGCTCTTAAGTTTAATTAGATCCCATTTGTCTATTTTGGCTTTCGTTGCCATTACTTTTGGTGTTTTAGTCATGAAGTCCTTCCCTTTGTCTATGTGCTGTTTCTTGATGGACAGCACATCTGGACCTGCCTTGGGCCTGGGGGAACTCACCCACACCACCTTGAAGAGAAGAATAAGAGGCTAGCTGGCTTTACCACCTGCTGATTATAGAGCCCCAGGGCCTTGAGCAAATGTAGGCTGTAGCCAGGTAGTGGTTACAGCAAGCTTTGGAAAACACCTAGTGCCGTGCTTGCTTCAGGCATGACCCAGGGCTGTTCTACTGGTGGTGGATGTAGGGGTACTTATGTCACTCCACCCTTAGCTCCAGGTAGCTCAGAACAGAGAAAGAGACTCCATTTGTTTGGGAGAAAGTAAAGAAAGAGAACAAGAGTCTCTGCCTGGTAATTCAGAGAAGTCTTTCAGACATTATTCAAGACCACCAAGGCGGTACCTCTATGAGTCTGCCAGAATCACAGAGTTACAGGGCTTGGGCTACCCCCTAATGCAGATATGGGTTAGATCACAACATTCGAGTCCTTTTGAATACCTGGAAAGCCTTCCTAAGAAAGATTGGTACAAATAAAACTAAATTTTGAAGACTACAATAAATACCTAACTCTTCAATGCCCAGACACAGATGAACATCCAAGAGCATTAACACCATCTAGGAAAAGGACCTCACCAAATGAACTAAATAAGGCAGTAAGGACCGATCGTGGAGAAACAGAGATGTGAACTTTCAGACAGAAAATTTAAAATAACTGTGTTGAGGAGACTCAAAGAAATTTAACACAGAAAAGAAATTCAGAATTCTATCAGATAAATTTAACAAAGAGACAGAAATAAATGAAAGGAATCAAGCAGAAATTCTGAACTTGATAGATGCAATTGACCTAGAGAGGAATACATTAAATTCTCTTAATAGCAGAATTATAAAGCACAAGAGATAATTAGTGAGCTTGAAGACAGGCTATTTGAAAGTACACAGTTACAGGACACAAAACAGAGTAAAATAACAATGAAGCAGATCCTACAGAATCTAGAGAATAGCCTCAAAATGGCAAATCTAAGGGTCATTGGCTTTAAAGAGGAGGTAGAAAAAGAGAAGGGATAAAAAGTTTATTAAAAGGGACAATTACAGAGAACTTCCCAAACGTAGAGAGAAATCAACATTCAATTATAAGGTTATAGAACACTAAGCAGATTTAACCCCCAAAAGACTACTTTCAGGCATTTAATAATCAAACTCCCAAAGGTCAAGGATAAAGAAGGGATCTTAAAATGCAGCAAGATAAAAGAAACAGATAACATACAATGGATCCCCAGTACATCTGGCAGCGGATTTCTCACTGAGAACCCTACAGGCCAGGAGAGCATGGAATAGCATATTTAAAGTGCTAAAGGAAAAAATATTTTACCCTAGAATAGTGTATCCTAAGAATATCCTTCAAATCTGAAGGAGAAATACATTTCCAGACAAACAAAAGCTGAGGGATTTCATCAATACCAGAGCTGTCCTATGAGAAATGCTAAAAGAAGTACTTTAATCAGAAAGAAAATGATGTTAATGAGCAGTAAGAAATCATCTGAAGGTATACAACTCAATGGCAATAATAAGTGTATAGAAATATGCATAATTTTATAACACTGTAACTGTGGTGAGTGAAATCCTCTTAAGTAGAAAGACTAAAGGATAAACCAATTAAAAATAATAACTAAAACAACTTTTCAAGACATAGTACAATAAGATATAAATAGAAACAACAAAAAGGTAAAAAGCTGGGGAAAAAGTTAAGATGTAGAATTGTTATTAGGTTTCTTTTTGTTTGGCTCTTTGTTTATGCAAACAGTATTAAGTTCTTATAAGCTTAAAATAATGGGTTCTAAGATAGTACTTGCAAGCTTCATGGTAACCTCAAATCAAAAAACATGTAATGAGTACACAAAAAAATCAAAAGTAAGAAATTAAAACTGCCAGATAAAATCGTCTTCCCTAAAAAGAATACAGGAAAGAAGCGAAGAAGGAAGAGAAGACCACAAAACCACCAGAAAACAAATTACAAAAAAGCAGAAGTCATTACTTACCAATAATAACATTGAATGTAAATGGGCTAAACATTCCAATAGAGTGGCTGAATGGATTAAAAAAAAAGCAAGACACAATGATTGGTTGCCTACAAGAAATGCATTTCACCTATAAAGACAGATACAGACTGAAAATAAAGGGATGGGAAAAGATTTTGCATGCAGATGGAAACCAAGAAAAAGCAGGAGTAGCTATACTTACAACAGAAAAAATATATTTCAAAACAAAAACTGTATGAAGAGACAAAGGACAATATATAATGATAAAGGGGCCAATTCAGCAATGGGATATAGCAATTGTAAATATATATGCACCCAACATTGGGGCACCCAGATATTTAAGGCAAATAGTATTAGAGCTAAGGAGAGAAAATAGACCCCAGTACAATAATACCTGGAGACTTTTAACACCCAACTGTCAGCACTGGACAGATCTTCCAAACAGAAAATGAACAAAGAAACATCAGAATTAATCTGAACTGTAGACCAAATGAACCTAATACATATTTACAGAATGTTTCATCCCACATTTGTAAAATACACCTTCTTTCCTCAGCACATAGATTATTCTCAAGGATAGACAATATTAAGGTCACAAAAGAACTCTTTTTTTTTTCTTTTTTGAGACCAAGTTTCACTCTTGTTGTCCAGGCTGGAGTGTGCAATGGTGCAATCTCAGCTCACTGCAACCTCCACCCCTGAGTTCAAATGATTCTCCTGCCTCAGCCTCCCCAGTAGCTGGGATTACAGGCATGTGCTACCATGCCTGGCTAATTTTTGTATTTTTAGTAGAGACAGAGTTTTGCCATGTTGACCAGGCTGGTCTTGAACTCCTAACCTCAGGCGATCCACCTGCCTCAGCCTCCCAAAGTGCTGGAATTGCAGGCGTGAGCCACCACACCTGGCCAAGAACTCTTATAACATTAAAAAAAAAAACCCTAAAATCATATCAAGCATTTTCTCTGACCTCAATGAAACAAAACTAGAAATCAACAACAAGAATAATTTTGGAAAGCATGCAAACACATGGAAATTAAACAATATACTCCTGAATGACCTGTGGGGTTAGTGAAAAAATTAAGGAGATTGAAAAATTTCTTGAAGAAAATCGTAATGGAAACATGACATACCAAAACCTATAGGATACAATGAAAGCAGTAATCAGAGGGAAGTTTTTAGCTACAAGTGCCTACATCAAAGAAGAGGAAGAACCCTAAATAAAAAAATCCAACAATGTATCTTAAAGAACTGGGAAAGTAAGAGCAAATCAAATCCAAAAATAGTAGAAGAAAAGAAATAACAATATAAGCAGAAATAAATGAAATTGAAATTTTAAAATACAAAGGATCAAGAAACAAAGATTTGGTGTTTTGAAAAATTAAACAAAATTGACAAATCTTTAGCCAGACTAAGAAAAAAAGAAGACCCAAATAAATAAAATCAGAAATGAAAAAGGGGTCATTATAACTGATACTGGAGGAATTCAAAGGATCATTAATTGCTACTATGAGCAACTATATGCCAATAAATTGGAAGATTTATAAGAAATGGATCAATTCCTAGACACATAAAACCTTCCAAGACTGAACCATAAAGAAATTCAAAACCTGAACAAACCAATAACAAATAATGAGATCAAAGCTGTAATAAAAAGTCTACCAGCAAAGAAAAGCCCGTGACCCGATGGCTTCACTGCTGAATTCTACCAAACATTTAAAGAAGAAATAATACCAATCCTCCTCAATCTATTCCAAAAAACAGAAGAGAAGGGACTACTTTCAACCTTATTCCATGAGGCCAGTATTACCATGATACCAAAACCAGATAAACACACTTAAAAAAAGAAACCTATAGGCCAGTATGACTGATGAATATTGATGCAGAAATCCTCAACAAAATATTAGCAAATAGAATCGATTGCCATATTAAAAAGATCATTCATCATGACTACATGACATTTACTCAAAGGATATAATGATGGTTCAATGCACGCAAATCAATTAATGTGACACATCATATCAACAGACTGAAGGACAAAAACCATATAATTATTTCTTCCCCCCCCCTTTTTTTTTTTGAGATAGTCTCACTCTGTCCCCCAGGCTGGAATGCAGTGGCACAATCTCAGCTTACTGCAACTTCTGCCTCTTGGGTTCAAGCAATTCTCCTGCCTCAGCCTCCTGAGTAGCTGGGATTACAGGCATGCACCACCACTCCCAGCTAATTTTTGTATTTTTAGTAGAGATGGGGTTGCCCCATGTTGGCCAGGATGGTCTTGAACTCCTGACCTCAAGTGAGCCACCCTCCGCAGCCTCCCAAAGTGCCAGGATTACAAGCATGAACCACTGCGCCTGGCCTCCATATAATTATTTCAATTGATGCTGAATAAGCATTTGATAAATTTCAACATCACTTCATGATGAAAACCCTGAAAAACTGGGTATAGAAGAAACATACCACTATATAATAAAAGTCATACACAACAGACCCATATCTAGTGTCATACTGAATGGGGAAAAACTGTAAGCGTTTCCTCTAAGATTGGAAACACTACAATGATGCCCACATTCATCACTAATATTCAACATAGTACTGGAAGTCATAGCTTGAATGATCTGACAAGAGAAAGAAGTAAAATACATCTAAATTGGAAAGGAAAAAGTTAATCATCCTCATTTGCAGATGATATGATCTTATATTTGGAAAAAACCTAAAGACTCCGCCGAAAAACTATTAGAAATAATAAACAAATTCAGTGACGTTGCAGGAAACAAAATAAACATACAAAAGTAGTAGCATTTCTATATGCAAACAGTGAACCATCTGAGAAAGAAATAAAAGAGTAATATCATTTACCATAGCTAAATATAAAACAAAATACCTCAGAATTAACCAAAGAAGTGAACGATCTCTATTATAAAAACTTTAAAACATTGATGCAAGAGTAGAAGAGATAAAACAATGGAAAGGTACTTCATATTCATAGATTGGAAGAATCAATATTGTTAAAATATTTGTACTACCCAAAGCAATCTATAGATTTAATGCTATTTCTATAAAAATACCAATGACATTCTTCACAGAAATGAAAAAAGAATCCCAAAACTTACATGAAACTTCAAGTGACCCAGAATAGCCAAAACTATCCTCAGCAAGAATAAGAAAACTTGAGGAATCATATTACCTGACTTCAAATTATACTACAGAGCAATACACAATGCCGCGTGGTACTGACATAAAAAATAGACACATAGATCAGTGGAACGGAATAAGGAACACAGAGACAAATTGATACATCTACAGTGAACTCATTTTTGACAAACATGCCAAGAACATAGATTGGGTAAAAGGACACTCTCTTCAACAGATGGTGCTGGGAGAACTAGATATCCATGTGCAAAAGAATGAAACTGGACCCCTACCTCTTACCATATACAAAAATCAAATCAAAATGGATTAAAGTCTTAAATATAAGCCACCAGACTGTAAGAATAATAAAAGAAAACATTGGAGTAATTCTTCAGGATATTGAAATGGGCAAATATTTCTTGAATAATAGTCTACAAGCACAGGCAACCAAAACAAAAATAGACAAATAGGATGACATCACGTTAAAAAGCTTCTGCACAGCAATCAACAAAGTGAGAGACAACCTACTGAATGGGAGAAAATATTTGCAAACTACTCATATGACAAGGGATTTATAACCAGAATATATAAGGTGCTCAAACAACTCTATTGGAATAAATCTAATAATCTGCTTAAAGATGGGCAAAAGATCTGAATAGACATTTCTCAAAAGAAATGTCACATGACAAACAGGCATATGAAAAGGTGCTAAACATCATTAATCATCAGTAAACCAAAATCAAAACTGCAATGAGATATCATCTCACCCCAGTTAAAATGGCTTTTATCCAATAGCCAGGCAACAACAAATGCTGGCAAAAATGGGGTGAATGGGGAACCCTCATACACTCTTGGTGGGAATGGAAATCAGTACAAACACTATGGAGAACACTTTGGAGGTTCCTCAAATAAATAAAAACAGGGCTACCTTATGATCCGCAATCCTACTCCTAAGTATATACAAAAAAGAATGGAAATCAGTGCTTCAAGGTTATATCTACACTCCATGTTTATTGCAGCACTATTCATAAAAGTCAAGCTTTGGAAGCAACCTAAGCCTCCATCAACAGATGAATGGATAATGAAAATATGGCACATGTAAACAATGGAGTACTATGCAGTCATAAAAAATGAATGAGATCCTGTAATTGGCAACAACATGGATGGAACTTGAGGTCATCATGTTAAGTGAAATAAGGCAAGCAGAGAAAGAAAAACTTTGCATATTCTGACTTATTTGTGGGAGCTAAAGATCAAAACAATTGAACTTATGGACGTAGAGAGTAGAAGGAAGTTGCCAGAGGCTGGGAAGGGTCGTGGGGTTCTGGGCAAGGGGGAGTAGGTCATGATTAACAGGTACAAAAAATAGTTGAAAGGAATGAATTAGACTTAGTATTTGCTAGCACTACAAGGGGACTGTAGTAAAAATAATTTAATCATACATTTCAAAATAACTAAAAGAGTGTAATTGGATTGTTTGTAATATAAAAGATAAACCCTTGAGGGAATGGCTACCCCATTCACTCTGATGTGACTATTATGCATTGCATGCCTGTAGAAAATATAGAAAGTATTTTATGTACCCCATGAATATATATACCTACTGTGTACCCCCCAAAATTAAAAAAGTAAGATGGGAAAAATTCCATACAGATGCATATATATATATATATATATATATATGTACATATATATGTGTACACACACACACACACACACACACATATGTGATAAAATAAAACAATTTTTTAAATGAAGTTTTAAAATAAAATTTGGATCCACCAGCAACTGATTTTTGAATAGGGCATATGGTTGGATATCTAATTGTCCCAGAACTATGTATTGAATAATCTATCTTGTCTCTGTAATACCACTCCTCCATATATCATTTCTCTATCATGCTGAGTCTGTATTACTCACATTTACCTTCTGTCCAATAGATACTATCAAAAAGTTGTTACAAAGCCAGGCACAGTGGCTCACACCTGTAATACAAGCACTTTGGGAGGCCAAGGCAGGTGGATAACTTGAACCCAGAAGTTTGAGACAAGTCTGGGCAACGTGGTGAAACCCTGTCTCTACAAAAAATAAGAAAGCTAGCTAGGCATGGTGGTGCATGTCTGTAGTTCCAGCTACTTGGGAGGCTGAGGTGGGAGGATCACTTGAGCCCAGGTGGTCAAGGCTGCAGTGAGTCCTGACTGCATCACTGTACTCCAGCCTGGGTGACAGAGTGAGACACTATCTCAAAAAAAAAAAAAAAAAAAATCAATACTACTAGAAATAGAGATGTAAGTGTAATGTGTCAAGTAAGAAGAGGCAAAACAGCAGAGTGCAATGCAATAAGACTTGGCATTTATTGAGGTCTTAAAAGTTGCAATTTGGGAGACACAGATTTGGCTAAGAGTCAAATTGTTTTCCAAAGAGAGGAAGGAGAGTAGGAATTTTTCAAAGGATGCCGAGAGTGATTGCACAAGTTGTTTTGAAAGAATTATCATTGGTGGAGGTGGCTGGCTTAGAACATGAGTCCATGGTACATTGGTTGTTGCTATGCAGGAGTTGCAGTGCTAGTGAAATTCAGCTACTTTCTAAGATGTGATCATTGTAGTTTAGCCCAGTTCAAAGATTCAAGGCAAGTTCCTTTTCCTTTTTCTTTATTTTTTTTTTCTGTAGGGTGGCATGTTGTGTAGGTAGTAATAGAATGGCTTCCCGACTTCATTTTAGAGCTCTGAACCAAGTGATATTGTTTTGTATTTGACATTTCACATTTCATCATGTTGATAAAGATGTGATGCGAGGAAGCATTGCTGATAATCATCAGTTGGTCAGCCAGAGATTTGTTATCTGTTTCCCTTGGAGGTAGAAATGCCTGTTTTTTAGAGTGTCATGTTCCACTCTAGAGGTATTTCTAGAGTTTGGATTATGGAAAGTCAATGTGCATCCAAGGCATTAGAGATTGGTCTAATTCAAGTAACAATAAAGCCATTCTAACAAGCAGGTCTGCATTAGTCTATGGTGATTAGCAGTATGTCAGGAGAAGGGTATATTTGATTAACAGTGTCTATAGGTCATTACTCAGTTTTCTTTTCTGAAATAGATTATGAGATTTCAGGGAGAGGATAAAGGCAAATTTACTAAGAATGGTGGGACACACCTGTAATTCTAGCTACTTGGAAGGAAATTCTAGAGAATACCCTCTTGGCCATGGAGGGGGAGGAACAAGACAAGGTTAGATGAACTTCGATTCTGAGGACTTATAAAATTGCTAACTTAACATCCTATTTCTGACGCCTTTCAATTTTCAAAAGTACTCAGCATGCCAAAGTGCCATATTTTGGAAAATCATTTTCTGCAGCCCAGCATTCTCCTTCCTGAAACCTCCCTAGAAGTTTTACACACTAAAAGCTGAGTTGGTGGCTGTGGAGAGAAAAATTGAGTTAATAGCTGAATGCCAAAGGATACCATTAAACTGGTCTCCCATTTCTGAGAATAGGCCAGTGAATTAAACAGTTGTGTCTTATTTCAGGAGATGGTGTTGCAGTCAGGCACTCAAACTGAAGCAAAAGAGAGGTTAATGTTTGGAACACTTTTTAAGCCAGTTTCTTTAGAGTTTGGGGGGAGCAGTCAGTTGAAGTGCTAGATGTTAGACTCAAACCATCTCCAGTTAAAGTGGAAGTAGGCAGTGGCAATCTGACATATTTTTCTGGCCTGTAGTTTGTATATCACAAGGACGTTTATATATAAGCTTCAGCTTGCAGGGCCTCAGGAAAAAGCTGCAATTTCACTGAGTCCAAGTCAGAAAAATGGAAAAATATGAGCATGTTGGTTTGGAGATTTGTAGCCAGGAAAGAATTCAGGATTCAGTCCAAATTGTTGTAATCAAATAATAAAAACTCACAAACAATGGACAAGGCTAGAATCTAGCAATGTGTACTATAGTTTTCTTCTGAAAAATAGTATTTCTCTCTTTAGTCTCCCATTTCTACCAAAGACAAAACATAGGAAGACCAATTTATTTGCAAAATAACTTTTAGTCTTATTATACTTTGCCTGATTGTTTGCAGTAAGAATAGTGATTGGCTATATAGGGTATTTTTAAGCTGGCCTTGCTGGAACTTTTAAATAAGAAATACCAGAACAGACTTTTAAAAGCCTCTTGAGGCTAGGACACTAAGCGAAGGATTCATCTTCTGACTGGGCTTGTAATACTTGTGTGAATTTCTCTCTTCTTGAGGTCCCCAAAATATCTGAGGTAGCTTGTTTTGTCACAAAGTGACAACTTTTACTTACCACAAGGTTAGGAACCCTGTAAGGGAATAGTGTAGATAAGGTACCCGGCCAGTCTTTTCCAACTCTGTCGGCTTTAAAGTAAACTGCAGTTCTTCAAAGCAGCCTGGTCACATTTGAAAATATGACACAAAATTACCAGTCAAAGCTTTTGTAATATAACCAGCATTTTCAATTGTGTCCCGTTAATGAAGAAAATGCTCTTATTGAGGTAAATGTTTTCATTTTGCTTACAAAAATATACTTCACCTAATTACTATAAGCTATGAATGACTTAAGAGGAAAAAGGAGGTTTGTTGATTCTGGAGAACAAAACAGAAAAAGAATTATCCATGTTTAAGCAAAAAGTCATGAAAAATCATTTCAGCCCTTCATCACTTTAGTCTCATGTTCTTCTTCTACTTGAGGTTAGGTTAGCAATTTTCCAATTCTATGTCTAGTTTTTCGTTAGCCTTTTCTTTTTAACTTTCTACCCAGTCCAATTGTATAATCTCAAAGTCATAAGTAGAGGACTGTATTTCAGATTACCTGTCAGTCTTTCCCATTAACTTCCTTGAAGACACATCACTTTAGAATTTACAAACAGCTGTCAGAAAAAGATAATTAGAGTTAAGCAATTTACTGAATATACGAAGATATATCATATTTTAGGAATCTCATGCAATTTTGAAATACATTAATAACATATCCATTTAAATATAACTCAAAGAAAGTTAGATATCATTTTTTATTTGACAATGCTTCCCATATAACTTTAACATACCAAATAAGCCTAATATGTCTCTCTTAGACTTCCAGGGGCTCTTTTTGGAATGTCTAAACATTTAGTTCAAGCTTTAAAAAGACTTAATTTAGAATTTGAAATTTGATTTTGGGATGTTTGTCAAATATCAAAAGTTTAAAACACTTGATATCAAAATAAGTGTACACAAGTCACTGTAAAATGTTAGTTACTCATTTAGTCAAAATGATAATTAAAAGGTTTCAAAAAGTGAAAAAAAACCTTTACTATTTGATAGAGAGGAGATTAAATTGTCCAAACAATCAAAAGACCTAATAAAGAGAGCATAAGGCAAAGTCATCTTTTTTTTTTTACTGAAAAGGTGAACAAATGTTTTACCATTTCTTATTAGTACTACGTGAAAATCTTGTTCAAAAAAGGAAACCAAATTGTACTTTGCATCAGTGTATTATTAACACTAAACCTAATTTAACAAAACATTATAAACAAATCCATCCAATCTCAATCACCTTTGACCACAGAAAAGATTTACATGAACATTTTATAATCTTTTACAATTTTTCCCATTCTTTTTTTCCTGAACTTTTTATATCCATTCAGTTTTCTGTCATTCTTTTTTATCTTTTCAACTTAAAGCAGCCTTTGAATAACCTCTAAACTAGAAAAAATACTTTTTCTTTAACAAAGCCACATCATCAAGTCTTGTGTGTGTGTGTGTGTGTGCACACGCACGTGTGCACGCACGCATGGAGTTAGGGTCACCTTATGTAGCCCAGGCTAGTCTTGAACTCCTGGGCTCAAGCAGTCCTCCTGCCTCAGCCTCCCAAAGTGCTGGGATTACAGGCATGAGCCACAGCATCTGGCTTCATGTCTTTCTTATGAACTTCCTCACCAAAAACATATCCTACTTTCTTTGTACACTCTTTATACATAATTGTTTATCTTATATATAGTAGTTTTAATTATATTATCTACAATTTTAACTTTAGTAACCCCAATTTCTAGCGATAAAGCTAGGAAGTAAAACAATTTTAATTGTTATGTATCAAATGCAAAGCCCAGGACAAATGACAGAGCTGCAAAGACAGTTAATGGAGGATCTATCCCCTTCCAGCATGGCCAGGAGGCAGAGCTGGGCCAGGGAGGAAGTATTGGGCTTGACTCTGCCCTGCAGCTGGTGGTCTAGGTGCTATGGAAGCCTCACTCTGACCACCTGTCTAGACTCTGGAATCTAAAGGCTCAAAACCAAAGACATATGCTTAAAGACAAACCAAGCAATTATCAAAAATATCACCAAAACAAGTTTTTTGACCTTAAAATATTTAGCAGAAACAGCATACATTTATTTGACCAGTAGACTAAGACAAAAAGGTCTAAAATTCTGAAGAATTTCTATTTTATTTTATCAACAATTTCAACATTTGCTTTTTATATCCAAGATTACTAAAGTCATATGAATTTAAAAAAAATCTTTCGGATTAACTGTTTAATTTATGAGTGCTCATTTATTTATAACTCAGCTCAGTACCATGTAGACAATATAAAAACAGACATATACACCTTTATACATAAAATACAAACAAACACAAATAAAGGTTTTATAGCTTTTGTGTTAGGCTGTTTTATAAAGAAATACTTGAGACTGGGTAATTTATAAAGAAAAGAGGTTTCATTGGCTCATGATTCCGCAGGCTGTACAGGAAGCATAGTGCTGGCATCTGCTCAGCCTTTCATGAGGCCTCAGGAAGCTTTTATTCATGGCAGAGAGCAAAATGGGAGCAGACATTTCACATAGAGCAGGAGCAGGAGGGAGGGTGGGGGAGGTGCCACACACTTTAATCAACTAAATCACAGGAAAACTCAGTCACTATCCTGAGGACAGCATCAAGCCATGAGAGATCCACCCCCATGGCCCAAACACCTCCCACCAGGCCTCAATTCCAACACTGGGGATTATGATTCAACACAAGATTTGGGTAGGGAAAAATATGCAAACTATATTTGCTTTTATTTTAAAATTCTAGTCACGAGACTGTAAAACTCACTAGTTTAAAAGGACAGTTAAAGGATTAGTTAAGGATTAATTTGCACCTCTGTAAATGAAACAAGTTAAAGATTGTCTGGGCTGGGTGCAATGCCTCATGCAGGACGATCACTTGAATCCAGGAGTTCAATACCAGCCTGGGCAACAAGGCAAGACCCTGTCTATACTAAAAAATAAAAAAAATAAATTAGTTGGGCCTGGTGGTGTGTGCCTGGGGGTCCCTGCTTCTTGGGAAGCTGAGGTGGGAGGATTGTTTCAGCCCAGGAATATGAGGTGGCATTGAGCTAGGATCATACCACTGCCCTCCAGCCTAGGTGACAGAGTGAGACCCTGTCTCTAAAAAGTAAATAAATAAAAATATTTTAAAATAAAGTTTATTTGTCCTACATGGTTGAAGTCCTTACTGAGTTTTAGAGAAACTAGGGTTGCAAATTTACATCTCAAAGCATGAAGGAGAATTTAAGCTTTTTGAAGAAGGAATTTGGGTATGTTAGAGGACAATTAAAAGGAATGCTAAGGTAACAAGAAATCATTGAGAATCAGTAGATGATTTTATAAGGAGACCAATTTTAGTTAGATAGGTGGCTTTTAATTTAGTCTCCATTTTACAACAGGACCACTGACCTCAGGGTAGAGCCCATTAATGAATAGGGCAAACAAAGCATTTGCAGCTTCTGAGGCCTAATACTTATACAGGGAAAAGCAGAAGCAGTAGGAAGGCAAATCACCTATATCCTTAGAAACCAATAACTCATTTTTACATTGAATCCTGGGATGTCAAAAAAGGAAGAGGGGAATGCCACAGGACCAGGCTGTTCAACACTTCCACAGGGCACGTCACTGCAAAGGTGACCCAATGTCAATCAGCCACTTTGTGATAAGTTTATCCCCCATGGGAGTCTTATCCCTTGATTGCAGTGATGTATCCATAGCCTCCAAGTTTCCAAACCTCACTTTTCTTATATAAATGCACAAACAAATGAATAGCCTTGTACAGTAATAACCATTCATTGTAACTGCTCTCAGTCACCCCCAGAATTGCAGCTTTTGCTAGTGACCAACTAGCTATCACACACACAAAGATTAAGTTTTCTCTCATAGTACAAAGTAATCCCTGGTACCCCGAAAAGTTAGAGAGACCACGGAATTTAATGCAAAAGAACTGAGCCTTAGACCTGAGAGCAACCAGTCCACAACTCTTGGGGATTCATGAGAAAAATAGATGACCCCAAAAAGGGTGTGTGTGGCACCTTTTTCTGTGTTCCTCAACGGGTCTTAGAGCTGCTAGAAGTCCCTTCTAGATTTCTTTATGTGGAATTGAAAATGGCAAAAAAGAAGGGGGAGTAGAAGTGAGAGAAAATGAAAGAACAAGTCTCAGATGTACCAATTTAGAGATTTTAAGCTTTCCCGAAGGGCCAATATAGTTTTACATTTTTCTCTGCAAAAATCATGTGAAGAAAAAAAGCATACAGAAGAACCAATCATATAATTAAAAAGGGATTTCAGTTGACTGAAAAGTAAATACCAATAGCAGAATACAAAAGAGAAAAAGTAGAAAGAACTTTTATTTTAAAAAAAAGTATTATAGTCGGTATATCAGCTTTTAATTAAGGTTACTTCTGGCCATAGAGCTTTTTAAAAAAAATCTTTTTCAATCTTTCATGATCAGATTTTAGCTGGGATGAATAGCCAATATTCTTTGCTTTCAAACATTTTCCCCCAAAATTATCTTTCAAATAACTCACCAAAACCAAAACTCCTTAACCAAGGTTTTGATTTAACTAAGAATACATGGGACATCTCCAAAGAGGTACAAAGCAGTCCTCAAAAGATCTAGGAGCATCTCAAAGGCAGCTAAAGAAAGTTTTGCCAGCCACAAAGTACAACCCATATTTCTTTCCTGCCAAATTCTCTAGGATCTCAGCTTCCCAGCCGACCATATACACACAAAAGTCAACCATCCCATGTGCCCCATAGATAAAAGCTTTTAAAAGTCAGTTAGTGTCTTAGTCTGTTTTGCATTGCTATAAAGGAATACCTGAGGTTAGGTATTTCATAAAGAAAAGCAGTTTATTTAACTCACAGTCCTGCAGGCTGTACAGGAAGCATGGCACCAGCATCTGCTTCTGGTAAGAACCTCAAGAAGCTTCCAATTATGGCGGAAGGTGAAGAGGAAACAGGCATGTCACATGACGAAATAGAGAGCAAGAAAGGGCAGGTGTGCCACTCTCTTTTAAACAACTAGCTCTCACGTAAACTAATACAGTGTGAAATCACTCATTACTGTGAAGACACACCAAGTCATTCATGAGGGGTCTGCCCTTATGTTCCAAATACCTCCCACCAGGATCTGTCTCCAATATTGGGGATCAAATTTTGAAATAGATTTGGAGGGAGCAAATATCCAAACCATGTCAGTTGGTAAGACAGAAAATCAAAAGTTGTCCATAGAGGGAAAAAGGATCAATAACAAATTAGCACCCTGAAATGTTGAGTCACACAAATATCAAACGAGTTTTTAAATAAGTCTTTCTTCTGATTTAAAAGACTTACATCAGCAGGGAATAGTTTCCTGATTGGGAATCAAAACAGGGAAAAAGCGGTGGTGAAGTGCCAAATCCTAGCCACTAAACCATAGGATGGAGTGCCCGTCCTGTATAAATCCCACAGGGAATCCAAAGCAGTCAGTTTGAGCATACAAAGGATTTTAACTTTGTTTTAGGTCAGATCTTTGTTCTTTAATTTTGTCAGAATTTCTAGGGCTAGCCATGACATTATTATGTACCTTAAATATTTTTAATCCTCCCATAAATACAAATAATTATTTAGAATGACAAATCTCTAAACTATTTTTCAAATAAAGGAGTCTTTCTAATTTAAAAAGATTCATCTTTTGGCTACTGATGAGTAGAATTTCTAATGGTGTTCCTATTCCAATAGTGACTCCATCCAATAAGCCTCTCCATGGAGCCCAGGAGATAATTTTTCCAGTTTAGAATACATTTTTACCACATAAGCAAGAGGGCGCAGAGGGTAGTAGTGGGATGGATGGAAGGGGTAGGGGCAGGAGCAGGAGGCAACACAGGCCAAAGACAAACAGAGGCATGTGCAATTCCAGATTTGTTTTATTATTATTAATAGAAGCTTCTACTTTTTTTTTTTTCTTAATTTAGGGTCTTTGAGCTCATTTGGTATTGTTATCTCTTAAGAACACTAGTTTACATTCCTGGAGTCTTTTAGTTGCCTCAGGATACCAAATTAAAGTAGATGTCCCATTTGGGCTTTTTAATCTTTTAATCTTTCTTTTTAGCCCTTCTAATTTTCCATGGAGGAAAACAAGTTTCAGGAGATCAAAAGATCCTCAGGTTGGCCATTGTAATTCCAAACTATTTTTAGTAATATTGACCCCTCAAGAAAGAAATTTATCAAATGAAGGACTATAATTTTTTTTGCACGAGAAACCAGCAGGGCATCCAGAAGGGAATGACATAACCTATACCCTTAGAAGCAAAAGTATCTATGAATACTCATCAAAAAGTGAAAAATTCCTTTGTCGACAGCCAGCAACAAAAGACTCTCAATAAAGGGCTGAACTTAACCAAAGGGGGAGGTTCAAGGACATAAGAGGACTCACCAGTGAGGTCCTGGGCTGCTGGGGAGACGATGGAACACATAGGGATCCTACAGGTACCATGCCTGAATCCATGGCAGTGTCAGAATGCAGGGGAAAGTTGCTTTGTATCCCACTCTATTCTGACACCATTTAATGTCAACCAAGAAGAGGCAAAAGACCAGACGGTAAAGCAGTAAGACGAAGTGTTTATTGCGATCTTCGGAACTGCAATTCAGGAGACACAGACTGGGGAAGAAACGAAATTGTGTCCGAAGAGGAAAAGGAGAGTAGAGATCTTTTTAAAGAATGCTGATTGTGCAAGTTGTTTTGAAAGAATCATCATTGGTGCAGGTGGCTGGCTTGATAAGTGAGTCCATAGTTCATTGGTTGTTGCTGTTCAGGAATTGTAGTACTGGTGAAATTTGGCTGTTTTCTAAGATGTGGTCACTACAGTTTGGCCTAATTCAAAAGTTCAAGGCAAGTTTCTGCTTTGTTTTTGTTTTTTGCAAGGTTGCAAGCTGTGTAAGTAGTCCTTCTTAGAACGACTTCCTCACTCCATTTTAGAGCTCTAAAGCAGAGTGATACCATTTTGTATATCACATTTCACAAGTATTTAAAGTTACCTAAGCAACCAGAGGAGAACTAAAAATAACAAAGATCAAAAATCAGGAAGATGAGAGAGGACCAGAGGGATTGTGTGAATTAAGTGCTTGTTTTTCATATCAGGACTATGAGAGGTTCAACAGATACAAACCATGAAATAGTGGTCTAAGCACATCATCCCCTCTTACAGAGAGCTCAAAGTGCAAAACAGTAAAAATTGACTGCTTTTGAAAAGTGGGTTCAGGGTTGGGGAAGAGTGAGGCTGGAGAGAATTTCGGCCTTTCATCATAGGATTTTCTGTACCTTTTGGTACCATGCGTATTCATTACTTTGATAAAATAAAAATTAAGACAGGGAAAGCAGCAGTTTGTTTTGTGTTGGATAAGCTGTATTAGTCTGTTCTCATGATGCTAATAAAGACATACCTGAGATTGAGTAATTTATTTAAAAAAAAGGTTTAATTGACTCACAGTTCAGCATGGCTAGGAAGGCCTCAGAAAATTTACAATCATGGCAGAAGGTGAAGTAACATATCATTCTTCACATGATGCAGGAAAGAGAAGTGCCTAGCAAAAGGGGGAATAAGCCCATTATAAAACCATCAGATCTCCTGAGAACTCACTATCATGAGAACAACACGGAATAAAAGCCCCCGTGATTCAATTACCTACCACTTTGTCCTTCCCATCATGAGGATTATGGGAACTACAATTTAAAATGAGATTTGGGTGGGGACACAGCTAAACCAGGTCATAAGCCAATATGTCAGAATTACCGTAATTCACTTTTAATTGATTGTGAAGACAGTAAATTTGATTGCTTTTTAAATATTAAAATACAAATTATTTTTATAAATACTAGATTGTAATTAGATCTAGAAATTTTATTATGCTAATAGATTGGATATTTATACAAATGACATTTCCTTATTGTAAGGCCGGCTGCCTCGCAGAGGGTTAAATGGACACATCCATCTCTCTCCGTGTCTGATAACCACGTCATCACCCGGGCTTGTTATCTGGCCTTGCCGCACGCCTTCTCCGCACCCGCCTCTGCATACCAGACCCAAGCCCACATTCAGCACTAAATTATGCATTTAACCCCCAGCCTGCTGTTGATAAAACCTGCAGGAAAAATTTTTAAAGAAGCCCCATCAGATCCTGCCCAGTAGCAGTCTGCTCTGTATGCCCCCGGAAGGCCTGCCTACCCATAACCACTAGCTCCAGGCATTTCCTTCTTGTTAATAGCCAATAAGATTGCCTTCACTTTGTTTCCCCAACAGCCAATCAAGACCCACTTACCCAAAGTCCCACCCGCCTACCAATAGCAACTAGTTTCAAGCACTTCCTGCTTCCTGACAGCCAATAAAATTGCCTTTGCTTTGTTTCCCCAATAGCCAATCAATCACCTTCCCTTCCCATAAAACCCCATGACCTAAACAGCTGGAAGTGACTTCTCTGGCCCCTTCCTGGACCACAGAACCTCACCTGGGAGCTGAATAAATTAGCTTCTCATTTTCTTATACTTGCCTCAGTTTCCTCATTTTACCTCGGCAATAAACCTTACACTTATATTATACTTTATATGCCTAAAAGTGGTTTTATCTGAAGAAATCTTTACTGATTAAAAGGAGATACTATTAAAAAAACAAACAAAAAAGGAGATATTTTATTAGGTGGCTGGTATTTTCAACCTTTACATTAAATAAGTGTGGCTCTCAGACAAAATTAAACAAGAATTTTAAAAAACTGGACATTTTTGTGACAAGTGTGGTAAGATGCATACCCTTGAGTTAGCCTGTTTATACCAAACTTAGAACACATCCATTTCAGAATCTGACTTGAAAGAATCATAATTATGCAAAATCTTTTGCCTTCTACTTTTGCACCTGAAAATTTAAAATTATGCTTACAGTTAACAAATGATTCAAGTATTAGTTATTATTCCCTTTTCCTTTGTATTTCCTTTTCCTCCCTTCTTCATCTCCTTCTTCTCTCCCTACTTCAGTCTTTTCTCTGTAAAGGAAAATTAATATATTCAATTAAAAAAAACCCACTGAAGTAAAAACTCACACTGATCTGAGTCCCACATAAACTAATTGTTTGCCAATAGTAATTGAAAACATTTTTCTCTTTTAGTTCTGAAAATACACTCTAAGGAGAAATATATATATATATATATATATATATATATATATATACACGCACATATATATACACACATATAACATGTATATATGCAGATTATAAGGAGTAAATTATAATGATTGCAAAATAAAGTTTAAAAAATTTAAAAGATTGCAAATTATTTGTGAAGTGTATTTTTTGATAATTTTTCTTTAAGTTCTGGGATACATGTGCAGAACATGCAGGTTTGTTACATAGGTATGTATGTGCCATGGTGGTTTGCTGCAACTATTAACCTGTCATCTAGGTTTTAAGCCTCGCGTGCATTAGGTATTTGTCCTAATGCTATCCCTCCCCTTGCCTCTGTTTTTTGATAAACTTTAAGTCTTTTTTAATTTTTAGTTTTGTGAGTACATAATAGGTATATATATTTGTGGAATACATCAGATGTTTTGATAAAGGCATGCAATATGAAATAATCACATCATGGAGAATGGGTTATCCATCCCCTCAAGCATTTATACTTTGTGTTACAAACAATCTAATTATACTCTATTAGCTATTTTGAAATGTACAGCTATTATTGACTGTAGTCACCTTATTGTGGGATCAAATGATATGTCTTATTTATTCTTTCACTTAACATAATTATCTCCAGTTCCATCCATGTTGTTGCAGATGACAGAATCATTCATGTTTCTGGCTGAACAGTATTCCATACTCCATTGTGCATAAGTACCATATATTTTTTAAGCATTCATCTGTTGATGAACACTTAGGTTGCTTTCAAATCTTAGCTATTGTGAACAGTGCTAAAACAAACATGGGAGTGAAGATATCTC